TATTTTTGCATGTTATCACTGTGCCCGTTTTTTGCTTTTATTCTTTGTTCCGCAAAGTGCGCTCTTTTAGTTCGTAGTTATGTGACAATATATATATATACCACGTACTGACCTGCGAAAGGTGGTGCCTTGATGCAGGTGCGGACGTGCTGAAGACGAAGCTGGAGCAATGGCCACGTAGGTAAGTCTCAGGTAAGTCCCCTGACTGTCATCACCATCTCCCCCTCCCTGCGCTATTTTACTCTATCAGCGGCCAGCGCTGGAAGACTAGTCCTATCGTCGACTACTGCTGCACTGTTGTCGTCCGAAGTATGCCTCAGCTCGATCCTCTACCGAATCCCCGAACTGAGGCTGGACCCAGCTATATATAGCACTGGGTCGGCCTCAATGGCTGAGTCCTAGCGCCCAAACTGAGGCTGGGCCTCCAGCACCTACTGAAACGGCGCGGCCTCACCTTGGCGCCAAAACGCGCGCCAGGGCCTGTAACCAAAACGAGGCCTACAGGGCCTCTCAACTGGTACCAGTCCTACTCAGGCCTAAAACCGGCCTACCGACCCTGCAGACCCTACTGAGGTTGGAAACGACACAGACCCTACCTTCTATGGACCCCTAGCCTACCTGGTCGGGCCCTGCTGGGCCCGTGTGGACCTGAGTATGCCACACTCCCCCCTCCTTGAAGGACCGAGCTTACCTGCGAGGGCGAAGCTGTCTGTTGGAGGGAGGGACTGAAGTCCGGGTGGGAGGCTTTGCAGCTTCCGCGGCCATAATCGGCGTAGGTAAGTGGTGTGGAGGCTTGCAAAGCTGCTCGTGAAATCCATCGCGTGTCATCACGGTCGCACCACTTGAATGTGACCTTGTACTGCATTGGCTTTTTGTCGTGCTTGCGATGCGTGATGACGCGATCGACTTCCTGATTACCATCCATGGAAGGAGGGTCCTGCAATCGTCGACCCGGGAAGTCGTCGCTCTTAGCTGGTGTATATGTGGCCAGCTTGGAGGCGTGGAAAATCAGGTGCACCATGAGATGCGGCGGGATTTCGATCACAAAGGAAGGGCCATCGAGCTCATCACCGCGGCTGATATGACGGTCCATGGTCCAAACCACTTTGAAAGTAGCTTGCGCGATACGTCTTGTTCAAGCGCAAACTCCTCCGTGGAGACCCAAACAAGGTTGTCGGCGATTATAGGGCATGGCACGTGACGCCTATTAGCTTGCTGTTGCATGCGGACTTGAGCCTTTTGCATGTTGGCGCGGGCTTTAGCCAGCAAGTCCCTATACTTCCGAACTGAGGCGGGAGAACAAGCGGCGTCAATATCGACAGTCCGAGGAAATGGAAGATCAGTGAAGATACGGCCTTTCCGGCCACTGTGGTGCGACTCGAATGGAGTCACGCCGATCGCCGGATGCAACGAAGTGTTGTAGGCGAACTCGATATCGGGGAGGGGGTCAACCCAATCCTCTGATCCGGACGGATGAGCGTACGAAGCATCATTTGAGCGGTTTGATGTGCCCGCTCCGTTTGCCCGTCCGTTTGTGGATGCTGAGCCGAGCTTGGTTTCATCTCAGTGTCGGACTCCTTCATGAGAGAAGTCCAAAATACCGACATAAAACGAGTGTTGTGGTCGTTGACGATGTCTTCCGGAACGTCGTGGCCGCAAATCCAGCCGATGTGCAAGAGTCACGCAAGCTCGAGAGTCGTGGCGTAGTACTTGCAAGGAAGAAATCGTGCGTACATGTCGTCGTGCCCGAAGCGGTCGCGGGGGAACGGGCCGGTGACGTCCATGGCAATGGAGAGCCCGGGTTCCCGCGGGATAGGCAACAGGCGTAACTCGTAGTAGGGGTTGCGATTGCGGGGTTTTCTTCGTCGACAAACTTCGCAAGAGTCGCAATACCAAGCAACCTCGGTAATGAGGTCAGGCCACCGGAATCGTTCCCGAAGTCTTGCGATCGTACGATTGACTCCGAAGTGGCCGGCGAGTCGCGAGTCATGGTACTCGCCGAGGAGGCGAGTCCGTAAACGACGGTCGTGTGGGACGCATAGTAAGTCCTTGCCTCGTGAGTGAAGAAGCAAGTAGCCGTCAACGACGCGATAATGGTTGGTCAGCGGGTGATGCGCCGGATAGTTGCTCGTAGAGTGTGGCGTATTCCGGATCGGACTTGTATGCTCGCACATAATGTTGATGAAGGGCGTCGTTGAAGTTGAACGCATGGTGAGTCAGTGCACAAAGATCTGATCTTCGTGAGAGAGCATCCGCGGCTCGGTTGGAGAGGCCCGAAATGTGTTTTGGTGTGAAGTCGAACTGATCGATGAAGTACATCCATCGAGTGATCATGCTGCTCACCGTGTTTTGCGTCCTGTAGTAGGTCAATGGGTTATTGTCCGTAGCCCAAGTGAACCTACGACGCCCAAGGACGAAGTGCCGCCAACGCTTGAGTACTGTGACGAAAGCAAGCAACTCCTTTCGCGCATCATCAACCGAGTTCATGGGAGGCACCTTTTGGTTGAAGTACTCAACCGGATGCCAATCTACTTCGTCGTGTTGTTCCAAAACTGCACCCATGCCGTAGCCGGAAGCGTATGTAGTCACTCTCGTAGGCAAGGTGGGATCGTCGATACTCAAGACGGGAGCGAGGAGCAACACCGTCTTCAATTTCTGGAACGAACTTCGGACTTCGTCGGTGAACTAGAAGGGCACCTTTGGAGACTGCAATCTTGACAAGGGTGCGGCGATCCGTGGTAGTACCCGGCCAATCGCATAAAAGAGCGAACTTTCGTGGTGTTGGTCGGTTCCGGCCAATCTTGGATGACCTTGATCTTGTCAGCGAGCGGACGGATGCCTTGCGGCATCACAAAGTGGCCCAAGTACTCGAGCTCTTATTGTGCGAATTCGCACTTGGCTCGGTTGGCCTTGTACTTGGCTGTATGTAGCCTGTCCAAAACAGCGTGTAGATGCACGATGTGCTCGTCCAAAGTGCGGCTATACACCAAGATGTCATCCATCTAGATGAGCACGAACCAGTCCAACATGTCGCGCAACTCCGTTTTCATTGCCGCTTGGAAGGTGGTCGGGGCATTCGTGAGGCTGAAAGGCATTACGACCCACTCGAAGTGCCCGTACCGTGTCTTGAACGCGGTTTTGTAGCGATCTCTTGGATGGATCTCGAGTTGGTGGTAACCAGCCTTGAGGTCCAACTTGGAGAAGTACTTGGCGCCGCCCAAACGTTCGAGAAGATCGTTGATGCGTGGGAGCGGGCCGACATTCTTAATGGTTTGAGCGTTAAGCTTACGATAGTCAATGCATAAGCGCAGCTCCTTGTTCTTCTTCCGAACGAAGAGAACGGGTGCACCGTAGAGCGAGCAGCTAGGGCAAGCCATTGTCAATGAGGTCATCGAGTTGCGTTCGTAGCACTTCGAGTTCCTCCTCGCTCAATACATTCGTGCGGAGGTACGGCCCCGTCTTCGAGGATGATCTCGTGCCGAATTGGCCGATTCGGTACGATTCCGGCGGGGGCTTCAAAGATGTCGCCATAGGAGTCAAGAAGCTCGACAATACGTGGATCCGGTGGCTGTTCCGCCGCTGGTGCGTCGGGAGGAGGGAGGGCGTGCAAGAAGCAAATGCCCATTTCCTCCACGTCGTTCCGTGTGGAGTTGTGAATGCTTGCTGCGGACAGCACGTGACAACCAATCGAAGGGTGAGGTGGGGGGACCGTACATGGAACAAGTACCCCATTCCGGTCACGAACGTGAACGGTGTGGCGGTAGACGTTCACCGGGTGGTCCTCGCTGCGCAGCCATGACATGCCCAAAATCATGTCGAACTCTGTGTCCAATATGTCAAAGGACACGGCCTCGCGTGCATGCGGGCCGAAGTTCTCGGGGACGGAGTCAACGCACCGGTCCATGGACTTGTGCGTAGGACCGTCGACCAACGTGGCTTGCGTGGGCTGCGATTTCCTTCGAACGCGCGACCCAAGGCCGGCACGTGCCATGAAGTCTTGGTAGATGTAGTTGCGAGTAGCTCCACAATCAATCAAGGCGCTGCAGGTCGCCTTCCTGATCTGAATGCGGACGTAGAGTAACGGTGCGTCGATGTTATCGTACCGTTGAGTGGTGTACTCGCGGTCAATCTTTGCAATGTACTTACGAAGGTCAACAACCACTACTCCGTCTTCCATCACCGGAGTTGGTACTGCAGCGTGCAAGTAGTTGCGCAGTTCTGCCATTAAGGCATTGCAATGCAGCTTCGGCAAGGAACCAAATGGGGGAAGAGGCATCCATTGGAAGTCCTTCGGCGTCAATGGGTCAAGGTCCTCAAGCCTAGACCATACCGACGAGTCACCGAGTAGTGTTGGCAAGGATGCTGGTTCACTTGGCGATGGTGATGAAGTTGCGCACGCATATGACTCTTGCACGTGGAGAGGTTGGTCCAACGGAGGGACCAGCTGGACACCATAGTCTTCGTAACTTTTGTGAAGACTTGCGACATAGGCATGTTACCCGGACGTGGAGGAGGTTGCTAGCAAGGCAACCATGTCCGGCGGCGTAGGAAGTGGAGTCGCCTCAATTCCCGCGGAGCTCAGTTTCCTGAGCTTTGTCGTGGATGGACGTCTTCTTTGCCTTTGTCGGGGCATTGCGACGTCGTATGCTTGGTGCTATTGCACCAATAACAACAGTTCCACTTCTGGCGGAGCTTGTATTGCTCCTCCGTGAGGTGAAACTTCTTCCACGGCTCGTTCGGCTGTCCGGCTTCCGTCGTTGACGCGGATTTCGCCTTTTTCTTCTTGTTGTTGGGTCGTGGTGGAAGGGCGTTAACTCCATCTCCTTCACTAGACTTGTGAGTTAGCGCCTGGTCGTCCTCTTGTCCATCAAGTTGGACAGCAGCGACTGGCTGCGTCCGTGGGCCTTTGCCCTTCTCCACAAAGTTCTGTTGGCTTTGCCGCTCGTTGGCAGCCCACCGATTTGTTTGGATTACTTCGCGCGCCTTGTCCACGATCTGGTCACAGTCCGTGTACAGGCTGCACTCCCCGAGGGTGGTGCTCAATGCATCGACCGACTGCTGGAAAAATTCGCGACAAAGATGCACGAATGGTATATCCAGGTTCGGAATCGTCTCAAGTTTCTGCCACTCGGTTAGCCATTCTCGTGTTGACTGGCTGCCTTGATGCATGCTGAAGATCCGGTTCGCGCCTTTGCCTTGAGCTTCGCCGACGGTGAAACGTTTCCACCACTTCTCGGTCATGCCCTCCCAAGTGATATTGGTGTAGAGCTTAGCGACCTCGACGCCTTCGGTTTGTGCCAGGTGGTTGAGCCACACTTGGCTGGCACCGGTGCTGCAAAGGTAAAGAGCTAAGATCTTTGATTCTGGCTGGACCAAGTGAATGGAGAGCTCGTTGGTGAGCCCTTGCCGGTCCGCCTTGTGGTAGTCATCAAACTTGTCGATGCTAAACTTCGGCATCTTGTACTGCTTGGACGTCACACTGTTGCAGGTCCCGGTTGGTTGCTGCTGCAGCTGACACAGGTCCGCTTGTAAGGCGGCTATTTGTTGGCTGATGGTCGCCGGTCGTTGCGCCACCAGGTGATCCATTCGTTCCTCCAGCTCGCGGATCGATGGATCGGTACTTGAGGAAGCCGTGTGCCTGTGCGGCACCTCATCCTTCTCCAGCACGTCAAGGGGGGAATGGAGACTCTTGAGAGTCTCCTCATAATCAGAAATGACATGTGCCTGCCGAGCCAACTCCACTTGTTGCCAGTTATAAGTGAGGATGACTTGGTGCATGATGTTGGCGAGGGCTGACTTGGTCTGTTCCTCCGCAGTTGGTTCCGTGTTCGTCTCTGCCGGATCAAAATTCCATGCTTGGAGAACGGCGGTATGAACAGCTTCCTGCTGCATGAGGACGGATGCGGCATCTCATCGAGCTTTATTATGGTTGGCAGCTGCTTCAGCGTGCTGCCGGCACCGTTGCTCCGCGTCGCATGCAATGGCGTTGAGGCGTGCGGCTTCGGCTGCCGCCTCACGTCGCTGTTCCTGTTGTACTTGTTGCATGTAGGTGGCCAGGCGGGCCATGAAGGCCGTCATGGTCTCACCTTGCTGCCGGACTGGCGCAGCGTCGAGGGCTCCTGCAGGTATCGCAGTGGAACTCACCTGCTGGACCTGTGGGACCAGGGGGTTCGTACTGCACACCTCGCGTGGACTCCCGGATGCGGCATTGTCCACCGTGGGGTTGCCTTGTGCCTCCATGTCAGAGGGGAGGGGCAGGGGTAGCTGCTGTTCTGCTGCAGCTGCCTGCCCTTCACGTGCTGCGATGCGTTTGCTGCGTCGGAGCATAAGCTGTGGTTGGCTGTACTTTGTCGGCTGACGCGGCACTGCTGCCTTGGCCCTGCTGCTGACGTGGCACCTGCTGACGTGGCACTTTGCTGACGTGGCACGTGCTGATGTGGCATGTGCTGATGTGGCACTTGCTGATGTGGCACTTGCTGGCGTGGCACTTGCTGACGTAGTTGGGGTTCGTACTGCACACCTCACGTGGACTCCTGGATGCGGCATTGTCCACCGTGGGATTGCCTTGTGCCTCCATGTCAGACGGGAGGGGCAGGGGTACCTGCTGTTCTGCTGCAGCTGCCTGCCCTTCACGTGCTGCGATGCGTTTGCTGCGTTGGAGCATAAGCTGTGGTTGGCTGTACTTTGTCGGCTGACGCGGTACTGCTGCCTTGGCCCTGCTGCTGACGTGGCACCTGCTGATGTGGCACTTTGCTGACGTGGCACGTGCTGATGAGGGACTTGCTGAAGTAGTTCAAAGAGGGGTGGAAAGAAGCACGCAGACAGGCAAACATTGGTTGGCAAGTTCCAATCCCGGGTACTAATCAACAGAAAAAAAAAAAAAAAAAAAAAAGATCTCCCCTTTTTTTTTTTTATCTGTCAATTTGAGAATTAGGGAGGCATCTATCAGATAAAGAGCAGCAGAAAGGGTAACATTCGGATTTTGAAAAATGTTTGTTAATCTTAAAAAACGATTCTCACTCGTTAACGGTATTAGAAAAGGTTCACAACATTCGTGGAAATTTCCAGAAAAGAATTTCTCGGAATTATTCCGATTTTTAGAAGACGAAATTCGTAACAGGAATTCCGCGTTGAAAATCACGGAATAATTTACTTCGATTTCCGAGAAAACTTACGAAATAACTCACTGAAAAAAATTCACGATTTTCGAAAAACGAAATCGGTCATAACCTTCTTCCTCACCCTAAGTCCGATTCGACACAGTTTCCGCAAAATTCACGGAATGTCGGGAATTTTTGGGATTTCCGAAATGTTGGTGGTGATTTCTATATGTACATTCTTACCACCAATGATAATGAGAAAAGCTACGATTGATTCAGCTAATATATGAAGATCATCTCTTTTTTTCGCGGATTTCGCGGAATACCAAAATTTTACATTTTCAGGATTTTGAACTTCGCGGATTTCACGGAATGCCAAAATTTTGGAATTTCTGAGAGTATCGGATTGGCACGTGCCGAAAATTCGAGCTTCAGAATTAGTAACTTACCACAGAGAGAAAAAAAGAAACGAAAGAAAAAAAAGAACTTGCAAACTTTAATCCGCTAATTAGTTGTTAATCTTGATTAGGGTTAGAACGCTAATCACGGATTAGTGCTAATTCGTGACTAGTGCAAATCCGGGGTTAGTGTTAACTACCGCTAATCAAGGTGACAACTTCAGTAGAACAGAAAAAGAAAAACAAAAATTGCCAAAATTTGACTAATCCCTACTTCATTCATCAATCAGTCAATCAATCAAGTTGGTTTCTTTATTGGGCAGATCCTCTTTCGAGAGGTCTGCTCCGATACCAAACTCTCGCATACCAAGATGGTGCAGACCAGAACCAAGAACCGACCTCTCACAGATAGAGCAGGATAGCGCAGTGGAAGGCTAGAATTCAAATGATCAGACCCAACCAAGGTCGAAATGCAGACTGGACATACATCATCATCATCACACGGTGTGAATGGCCTGGCGCCGCACACAGGACGAAGGTGCCAGGCCTAACTCAGACACAGATGAGGAGGAGGGGAAAGAGACGAAGGAGAAGGGGGAAGAGATGAGAATGTCGTCAATTCAAATGTCGCTGATATCAATCCCAAGTAGTCCCCCCAACGTCTCTGTCCAAATGTTGAGTCTGAATCCCAAGTGACGTTAATCTCTGTTATGATCCTGGCCAATTTTGAGATACACATTCATCAGATAGTACAATGCCGTCCAATTGCAGAAAGAAATGAATGAACTTGAGAGGAGAGAGAAGGTTAGAAGAAGCAGAAGAAGTAAGAAAGAAGAAGAAGATGATGTACACCAGCATACACAAATGACAAAGCTCTTCTTCTTCGCCCAACTCTCTCTTCCTCATTATCTCCTCCTCTCTTATTCACACAAGAAATAATAATACAATGTTGAATGGCTGAACCAGAATCAATGTCCGAATCCCTCTTCTACTGCTGGTATCATTTGAGGTCCACCATAGCCATGGCCGCCTACCTCACTCTTCACTCTCATAGGCCGAGGCTATGGTGGATTGCTTGGGCCTTGCCCTGCTGTGCAAAGGACAACACAAAGCAGTTATGGCTGCTCTAGCTCAGGCCGCCATGCCTGACTCTGCCTCGAAGCTTCTTGGTGGAGCTCTCCCCAGCTGGGGTCTCCCTGCTGCAGCGCCCACTAAGGTGATGAAGATGTCTGCGCTCCTCCCCCTTCCTGTCCTTCTTCCTCCTCCAAGTCCTTGCTTCTTCCCCAGCAGCGCTGCTCCAAGCTAGCGCTGCTCCAGCCAGCGCTCCAACCAGTGTGTCGCCAAACTTGCACACCGACAATGAGGCTGGGCTCTTCGCCTGGCCTGGAGATATAGCGGCCTGCTTGCCTCCTGGGCGGTGACTTCCAGGCCACTCGGCCTCCCAAGCAACCGGTACCTCCTCCCTTTCAGAGGGAAACATCATTGCAGACTCTGATATTGCCCGTACAGGCCCTAGACTCAGACTGGTACCCGCCTAGACCTAGCCTACAACTACTGGGCCTCTAAAAATGCCACTTTTGTCTTCTTCTGCTCGGCCTCCAGTACCCGGCACATCTACCGCTTCAGGGTGTGGTACCGGCCTACCTGCTACTTGAGTGTTTCCCCGCTGCTTCAAGTGTTGCGGGCCTCTTYCCCCGCCACTTGAGTGTTTTCCCCCGCTGCAATCCTCAATGCCACGGCCACGGTAAGTACCGGCCCTGAGGGCCCAACGAACGAACAAGTGCCCTTACGGCCACACACACACTCAAGCCAACCAGCAGTCAGACAGACATGCGGTCCAGCAAGCGTGCACACACACAGACTTAGTAGCAAGCGGGAAACTCAGCAAGGCATTCAATCCATGAGCAAAACTAAAAAATCAGCCGTGTGTTTCAGTCCATGTTTGGTCGGGTCATCACACTACTACCCCCTCAAGAGCGAGGTCCCTTTGAGCGAGTAACTCATACTGAGTCCTCGACAAACGCATCGTAGGCGAACAAGGCAAAGAGATTTCGAGAATACTCTGTCGCAGTGAGTTTGGCAGAGATTTTAGGTGCATCATTAGAGGCGATTTGTTGCTCGTAGGCTTTAACAACTCGAGGTGTGCTGCGCAGCAGTTCCTGCTTGGAAATCCAGTATAGATCATCCAACGGGTGATACATGAAATGAACCTGGTTCTGTCTGTTGCGTCCCTTCCCTACGTGTTGTTTAATTATGTATATCTCATATCCGCCATTGATTGCACGAGGAATCATGTCTTCACGGTAATCGAACGACTTAGCATCACGGTGGAGATACAGTTTTGATGCATGAAACACGGGATATGTGCGCAGATGAGGTGGCACAACAACTACGTATGAAGGGCCAAAGCTATCTTCGCCAATCGCATCCAGAACCTCCCACGGACCATAATAGAGTGGGAGAAGTTTACGTGAGACTCCCTCTTCTTCCGAAAATTCAGACATCTTGACCCAGACATAACTTTCCACCTCAATATCTATTTGAAGGTCGGCGCTTCTTGTTTGCATGATGGATCGTGGCATGTTGTCGCTTGGTCATTGCTGCGATGGCAACTTTGAGCAAGTGATCGTACTTGGCCCTGAAGCCAGGCCTGCCGGGTGTTAAACCAGCTGGCTGATCAGGGAATAGGTAGGAGAGCGGATTACGAATCTGCCAACCGTTATGCAACCTGTTTGGTGTCATGTCGGTGGCAGAGTGGATGGAGTTGTTGTACAACCCCCTAACGGAATACAGCTCTTCATCCCATGTTTCTTGATCCAGAATGATTAAAGCGCGGAGAAGTTGGAACACAGTTTGGTCGACTTCCTCAGCCAAACCGTTGGCATACTTTTTAAAGGCATTTAATTTTTCCTCTTCATTATTCACATCAGAGTCATGGGCAGAAGAGTAGGCCGTGTCAGGGTCCTGTTCGTGGTCGTCACCAAGACTGGGGTCGTCTGCATATGCCTCCTCATCGGTCTCCAACAGGTCATGCAGAACCAAACGATTGCTGCATCTGAACCGCCTGCCGCCAATAGGCTTTTTGCTGCCTGTTATGGTAATGAGGTCTTGTGCCTCAAGGCTGACCACATCCTGCATGAGGGAAAGCCAGTCCGTGTAACCAATGAGCTCTTTGCCTAAAGGGACCGAACCAGAATTCAGGGAAGAACTATGTCCAACTTCCCAAGGGAAATCCCATCGAAACCGGAGGATGCAGCCACTAAACCATGGGTTGACCTCCGGATCAGTGAAAATGATTGGAGGGTTAGGCTCAAGAAGGGGATATGCCTACATTGCCAGAAACCAAACCATAAAGTACAAGAATGTTATAGGCTGCAGGGAAACCAGAACCGGGCGTAGAGTTGACTTCAACATCCTCTACGGCAAGGGAGACTGAATCTGATGCAAATCAGAAGTCCTCCCTTGGAGCCCAATCTTCTGCTGATTCCAAGGCTGAAGTGTGTCATGCTTCGTATGTCTAGCCTTGGGAGGAGTTTGAGATGGTTGACTTCCACTACCACTTGGAGCATTGGGTTGAGATGAAACATCAGCGTGCCCAAGGGACAATGAAGTTGATCTTCTTCAAACTTCTCATTAACCACCACTATCTCCGTGTCTTAATTGATTGTGGTGCAACTACTAACTTTATGTCACCACACGGGATACGGAAAGTGGGTTTGGGAATGAAGCAAGTGGCTTTGCAGAACCCTTGCCGGACCCAAGTAGGCAACAAGGAAGTTGTCTCCTCTACGCATGTAGTCAAAGGTGTGCGCACTACCTTTGACAAGGACAAAACCGTCATACACGCTTTGAACTTCTATGTCCTTGACAAGTGTCCCTTCGATGCTGTCCTTGGCTTGGGCTGGCAGCAGTCCCAATGCGAATGGACTAAGTGGAAGGAATCACTTTTCATGGTCAAAGATGCTCAAGGGAACGAGTTTCCCGTCCTCTTGGATGAGAAGCATGAGTCCCTAGTGACTTTTCTGAATGCCATGCAGTTCTGCAAGAAATGACTCAAGCACAAAGAGGATGAACGATTGTATGTTGCCTTTGTTCGCCCTACTCATGTGCCATCTACTTTTGCGGC